GCCTGCGCACCCCTGTAACCCCGCATTTCCCATGGCTAACCCACCTACCCTGCACATCGGGAGGAAACTGGAGCACCCGGAGAAAACCCACACAGACACAGGGAGAACATGCAAATTCCACACACACAGTCGCCCGAGGTTGGAATTGAGCCCGTGTCCCTCGCGCTGTGAGGCAGCAGTGCTAACCACTGAGGCACTGTGCCACCCCAAGTTTACCAACTTGTTTCAAGCTGATTAAACAAAGTTGGTGAAAATCGCTTTTCATCTGGATAGCTGTACAAAAAAGGGAGTGGATTGGCCATTTTGTTCATTGAAATCAACTGGGCAAGAATTGTCATAAAATTTTAAGGTCGAATCGCTGGCAAAATCTTAAGAAGTCAGAGATCATTGATGCATTAGTATTTTAGAATTGGTGGAACTACTGAGAACACCAACTACTGCAGCAACTGAAACAGTGAGGGTTCAACTGCAAGGGACTGGTTTGAACATGAAAAACAAATGAAAAGGAATTAGAAATTGGGAATCTTGAACTTGAAGGAAATGAAAAAGTCCAGAAGCTGGAGGTAGAATTGCAAAAGAGAGAGAGAGAGAGAGAGAGAGGAGAGATAAAGGAGGAATGAAACAAAGAACTGTGGATGTTCGAAATCAGAAACAAAACCAGGAATTGCTGGAGAAACTCAGCAGGTCTGGCAGCATCTGTGAGAGAGAGAGCATTTCTTCAGAACTGGGGTAAAGGGGACACCAGTTCAGAAGGCAGGAGCTAATTTTAAAAAGAGCCTCAGATGCAGAGGAAAATTCTAAAAACCTACCCCATAACCCAAAGCGCAGAGAGAAAATGTTTCCACTTGTATGTGTCCTGCCGAAATTTGAGAGAAAGGATTTGAGGTGCTCTTTACAACCTTCCAAGAAAGTAGCAAAGCAAATGAAGTTGCTGAAGGAAAACTGGATACAGTTCATATAGAGCAGGCTAGAAGGCAGACCACAAGAGCTTTGTGTGTCACTTTCAGAAGAGGTATTTATGGATTACAACACAGTGATAAAGGCTATTATGGTGCATAGGACTTAGCTGCTGAAGGGCGCAGGCGAAAGGTCTGGACGTAAGGAAGGACACAGCAGACCTACGTTGAGTGTGAAAGGGTAAAGCGAAGCACAGTGGCTCAGTGGTTAGCACTGCTGCCTCACAGCACCAGGGACCCGGGTTTGATCCCACCCTTGGGTGACCGTCTGTGTGGAGTTTGCCCATTCTCCCCCTCTCTGCATGGGTTTGCTCTGTGTGCTCCAGTTTCCTCTCACAGTCGAAAGATGTGCAGGGTTAGGGTGGATTGGCCATGGGAGATGCAGGGTTACAGGGATGTGCAGGGTAGGGTGGGTT